AGAAAAAAGAAAAACAGCGTATCTATTTTGACTTACGATGTATATCTATAAGTACATATAAGTACATATACCAACATGTGTATGGGTTATTCTTTGTATGTATATAAAATATATGTTCCATTTTCTTGGGTTATATTTTAGGTATATATACTGAGATTATGGGTTATATATTCAATATATATACTGAATACTGAACATAAACAAAAAAATATAGACCTATTTGTTTGAGGTATAGACCAATGTTTTAGGTATCATACTTATTTTATGTTTTTAGGTATATATATGTACATAGACAAAAAATATACATACTGAACATAAACCAAACAATATATTGCTGAACATAAACCAAAATTAAACTAAACATAACGATAAAATATACTGAACATAAACTAAAAATATACTTATGCTGCACAATAAAAATAAACTGCTGAACATAAACCAAATATATTAAAACTATGCAGTTTATTTCCATGAACAAATACCAAAATATACTGCACATATACTTTCATCTGTTCAACATTTTATGAAATAATCATGAATTTGAAAACTATGAGTATTGTACATAGCAGCACTACGACTCTCATTGAAAACTTGCGGCTTCAGTAATGGAGAACATCGACAAGAACCGGGATGGGCGGCCCAAAGATCTGTCCCAAATGAGTACCCAATCAGTTCATCAATTGGTCAACAACAGTTTGATGGGATCCGTCGGGCTCTGGCGGTGGAGGTTGGGTGCCGTCGGCTCAAGGGGAAGCGATTCGTACGGCGACGGCGTGCTTCGAGTCGCGGTGGAGATAGCGATTGCTTTTCGCACTTCGTCGGGCTGCTTGCGGGCTCGCGTGAAGGCTATCGGAGATGTTCGAAGACGCCGGCGTTTTTTTTTTTTCTGTCTGTATCAATGAAGATTATCTTTCCATCTTCGCTCCTAAAATCTTGCGCTACAAACATGGAATGGTTGTTCCACTATCTGTAATTGATTTTAGGTATAATTGTTATTAATTTTTGCCTATTACGTATAAACACAATTAAATTGGTATGAAGTGTAATGTTGCAATTACTTTAAAATCGTGTAGCATACTTAAAAATTTCCCATGATGTTTTTGTCATGTTATGGTCCGGTCTTTGGTCAAAGCCCCTCTCCTCCAAGTAATAAATTTGACCCACCCATACTACAACATAAAAGACTTTAGGTAGCAACATTTAATACTTTACAATTATTGGTTTATGTATCATATTATTGTAACACTTTTAATATAAGTGTTAAAAAAAATTAGCAAAAGTATCATATAACTGTTACCAAAAACTACCAAAAGTATTACTTTTGACCTTTAGGTAGCACAAACAACTGTAGCGCCAATATTGTATTACCTATTATCTATAGTAACATTTTATAGTTTTTACGTATCATTTTTTTGGTGTTACCTAAAGTCATTTATGTTGTAGCATTATTGGTTGTCTTCAACTAAAGTAACTGTATATTTAGGAATTTTCATACCTTCTTCAAATGCTCAGTATATTTAGTTTTTCAACATTAGCATTTTCAATCAAAATGAAATATAATAAGCTATTTATCTAACCATAAATTTTGCGAAATTGACCTGGCAAACCCCTAAGTGATGTTCAATTTACTAATTTTTACACTAATACATTAACATTTAATCGAGCCCTCATCATCAATTTTTCACTGATAGATTAACATGTTACATGTTTATATGTGTACTTCATTTAATAATATAATTTAGTGAGGACAGTAATGGCCGAACTTGCCTACAGCGAGATACATGGAAAACAGACACGATTCAAACATTTTCATTTGCAAAATAAATTCACATATCCTAAGGAGCTTGTGAGAACTTATAATTCAACTCATATATATAGTTTACCGTAGTTGTTTAGAACGATTTAATATTAATGCACACTTGTTGTTATTATTCACCTTTTTTTAAAGCAATCTATTGGCAAACGAGTAAATTTAATTTGTCATATTTTATAATTTAAAGCAATGTATTGGCAAACGAGTAAATTTAATTTGTCATATTTTATAAATAAGAAAACATAATTATACTGTTGGATATCATACTTATATTTATATTATTTTTTAAAAAATATGATAAGTTTAATAAAATATACGTATTGATAGAAAAATCAATTTAATGATTATTTCCACCCAAAAAGAATTACTATGGATTTCTATTTATTTGATAAAGTGAGTATGCATTGCTTGCCCATATTAATTGCATGGAAAATGGATTCATGCATGATTATTGGATTCTCATATTATCAACCCATAAAGAGTATAGTATTTATCTAAGTGGGTCACTGCAAAAATAAATAGAGATAGTTACGTGCTGCACGGGCCCCTAGAAGTTCTTTATTTGTAGCTCTTCCCCACGTGATTTCTTCAACGCGATTTGCGCGTGAGAAAGTGACTCGGCAACTAATTCTTTGTTATCCGGAAGTTCCCTTCTCAATACCTCATAGTCTCTCACAACAAGCAACATTCGAGTGTTTAACATAAAATGCCAATATTTTCTAAAATTTTCAGAAAATACTCCTTTCATATTAGTTTTCTAAACTAAAAGTATTACTTTTAACCTTTAGGTAGCACAAACAACTGTAGCGCCAATATTGTATTATCTATTATCTATAGTAACATTTTATAGTTTTTGCGTATCATTTCTTTGGTGTTACCTAAAGCCATTTATGTTGTAGCATTATTGGTTGTCTACACTTTTAAATTTTCTCATAACCTGCGTGTGTGAAATTCAACTAACCCTCAAAGGAAACAACAAAAGATGTCGACCTGTCTACATCATTTTTCTTTTTTTTTTTTATGGTAGAGGTAAGACTCTGTCTACATCATCAATTTGAAACGGCTATATTTCCTGAACTATATATGCAGCAAATATTAATTATTTTACCCTTGTTGGGAGTCTGGTGGAAAATCACATCAATTGCGAATTTAACCAATGTTCATCTCAAAATGCATCTATCAGTCATGTGTTAATTTTTGAAATCTTTTAACAATATATCTGCTGGTGTCATATTTCACCACAGTTATTAGAAAAAGATATACATTCAAACCTGGGGGAAGGGATTGCTTCAACTTGTCAGCCTTCTCAGAGTCAAAGACACAGATACTTTGAGCATCTAACCTTGAACTTGACAACATCTTTGCTCCTCTTGATCTTCACAGATTGAGCGTCCTTCCTCCTAGCTGTAAGCAAGAAGTCCTTGATCTCGTGAATTTGCTTCGGCATTTTCGAAGAAGGGCGTCTGTCTTTGATGCTGGAGAAGTGAGCGAGCAAACTCCCAAACCCTACCTTACTTCTGAGTTAAGTAGAAGCAATTAGAAAGCATTGGCCCAACGACTAACTAACTGATTGGCTCGAGCGAGCGGCCCTGCGCACCGACTACCACCTATCTTTATCTTGACTGAGAGTGTAAGCAACTGGGTCTATTTTCATTCATGCTTATGAGTATAATAATTTTTATTTTTTTTCGGATTCACAGTTTCTTGGTGTTGTTTTATTATTTCTTGCTTATTATTTTTGAACACTCTTCATCTTGCTACTTTTTTTTTTATTATTTTTGAACACTCTTCATCTCGCTACTTTTTTTTTTTTTTTGTTTCT